TCAACTGAAATACCACCTTTTTTATGTCATTGAGACTGTGGCTGGGAGAAGAATATCTGAATTCATTCACTACAAAATAGAAACTTCAAGAATTGAAAATTCAAGTGGAGAAAGTCCTTAGAAACTGTTGTTCTATTTTGAAATGGTATGTAAGTTTTAGATTGGCAATACTATTTTCAATACCTTTAGTCATGATTTATATATCATTTTGGACATTTGCCCAGCTCTTTTTATCTTGAATTATGAAACTGTGGGTTGGATTTAGTATAAGTATTCCTATACTAACCATTGAACTGTGTGTCAGATTTTCTGATGGAAGTCAGTTGTTTTAAACTCATTAAAAAACTATATTTTTCATGAGGAAGTTATTCCATGCATATCACTTCCTTTCTAAGAATCATACATAAGAATTTAATGTCACTAAAATTAAGTTGATATTTAAAGCTTAGATAAAATTTCAACACTGGGCTCTGAAAAAAATCATTCCAATTCTGTTATGCTTGATATGAAGCCTTATTAAAAACATTTCCCTTTCTCTTACTTATTTTTGCTTATGTACACCCTAGAAAATAGAAGTGTCCTTCAAGCTTATGAAATATGAAACATATGACTCAGAAATTTTGGAAAAGAAAATTTCATGACAGCATATGTGGAAAGTGTATTTTCAAGTTGGGGGTAACCATTTATAAATCATATTTATAAAATGTGCACATATGACCTGGAGATGGATTATCTATTTTCAGTTTAAAGATCAAATATTCTCATGGAATAGAATGAAGATGAAGAAGACCTACCTATTCATATGATTTTTTATTTAAGACTACATGCTATATCTTTTTTTATACTCCTTCTCCTCTTCCTCTTCCTCCTCCTCCTCCTCCTCCTCCTCTCCTCTTCCTCCTCCTTCTCCTCCTCCACCTCCTTCTTCTTCTTTTTTTTTTTTTTTTGATAATGGGGATTGAATCCAGGGAAGCTTAACCACTGAGCTATATCCTCAATCCTTGCTATTTTTTTTTTTATTTTCAGAGAGGCTCTTGCTAAATTGCTGAATCTGGCCATAAATTTGCAATCCTCCTGCTTTAGCCTCCTGGATCTCTGGGATTACAGGTTTGTGCCACAGTTCCCAGGTGTATTTTCATTTTTTTTGTATTGTTTAGTTCGATAAATTTTGTTTCAATATAAATCAGCATTTAGTGACTTCATATTGAATAGCAATCATTATGCAATATAAGACAAAAGAAATATTAAAATTTCTTAATATTTGCATTGAGAAATAATGAGACAAACTTCTTATTCTCAAGGCAAACATTAACATAGGATTAACAATAAAAAATGTTTAAATTTAAGTGTCAAAGAAGATATTTGGGGATATAAACCTTAAGCTTTCGAAGGAAAAAAATGTATTTAAATAAGATGATCACAGAAAGACATTTGGAAACTCTTTCCTTGAGTTTGCCTAGATTTCACAGAAAAGGTAGAATTGATAGAAAGAAATGTAGTGTAACTGATATAATTTAAACCTGAGAACTTTTATTTTAATTTTAAAGCAAAGGAAAGGAATAGCCCTAAGTATCTTTTGGGAATAGATCACAGAAGCAAATCATCTAAGGAGGGGAAAGAAGAAAACTGCTACTGGAGAGAAAGGCAGTAAAAATGAGTAAAAATGTTGTTGAGGGATGGCTCTGCAGAGAATAGATTTGTGTAGAMCTCTGTTAACAAGGAGCAAGCTGGATTATATGAATCTCTAAACTAAATGTATCCATCATGAAGCACTTAAGCCAAAACGTTAAATATACAACCTAAATCAAAATGTCTACAGATGGTTTGAAGGATTAGTTTTAGAAGCTCAATTTAGGATGTGCAATCATTAAGACTCATTTTCAAGTCATCCATGAAATTCTGAATCAACTCTACAAAGTGCCTCTCTATTGTGACCTTGTGCTACATCTTAGTCTACTTTAGAGGCTATAACAAAATATCTTAGATTAGATAATTTATAAATAATAGAAATTTATTTTTACAATTCTGAAGGCTGAGAAGCATGAGATCAAGAAGCTGACATCCATTGTCTGATGAGGGTCCTTTATCATACCCTAACATGGCAGAAGAGTAGAAGAGCAAGAAAGGCCCATTTTGTTCCTTTCAGTTATTTGCAAAGTCATAAATTCTATTCACCATATCTTTACTCTCACAGCATAAGGACCTCGTAAAGGCCTCACCTGTTAAAACTATCACAATGGCAAAAAGTTTAGACATATGACTTTTGAAAGAAACATAAACATTCTAAATATAGCTTTCCATTAGTTTTTGCTTTCGTCTTGTTTTTTTAAATTTTTCTCCTTTTAAATAGATTTTATAAAGCAAGTTTTGATTTATAGCAATATTGAGTAGAATGTAGAGAATTCCCAGATATCCCTTGCTACATCACAGCTATCTCCAACTATTAATACAATTCTTTTGGCAATACATTTTAACAAAGAATGAACCTGCGTTGACACATGATCACCACCAAAAGTCTATTGTTTACAGTAGGGTTTATTCTTGATGCTAACCATCCTATAGATTTTGACAAATGCATAAAGATATGTATCCATAATTTAGTATAATACAAAATAGTTTTACTAAAATGAAGATCTTTTGTGTTTTGTCTATTTTTTTCTTTCTGTGCCTGGCTTATTTCACAATATACTCCAGATCATCCATAATGTTTCAAGTCCATGATCACAGACTGAACCTCTGAAATTATAAGCCCAAATCAACATTCCCTTCTCTAAATTCTTCTTTTCAGATATTTTCATCACAGTGAAGTAAAGCTGATGAATACTATATATTTTGCTTTGGTTTGAAGGAATGCTCTGTGTGTGTCTACTAGAGTCTTTGGATCCAAAGCATATTTTATTTCCAATATTTCCTCATTGATTTTCTGTATAATATCTCCATAGTTGAAAATGGGGTATTGAGGTCCTTATTATATTGCTTTCTATTTCTTACTTTTATATGTACTTTATAAACATTGGCATTACAAGACTGTTATCAGTATAGCAATGGAGGTATTTGAAATCCAGGTACCAGTGCTCTGAGTCTCAATTGATATCCTGAAGTCTTGGGCTTCAGCTTTTGTTGGAGATATATATATATATATATATATATATATATATATATATATAAAATAGGATCTTGAAGAAATGATCCATTTTTGTTTTTATAATGATTTTCTGTCTTTTTAAATATTTTTTTTATTTAAAGTCCTTGGTGTAAGGATAGCCAGCTTTATTCTCTTTTGGTTTTCATTTGCATAAGCTATTTTCTCCAATCATTTCACTTTCAATTTATCTGTATACTTAAAGGAAAAATAAATCTCTTGTAGGCAKCCTTGTTTTAGTCAGCTTTTTTGATGCTATGACTAAAGGACCCAACTAAAACAAATATACAGAGGAAAGATTATTTTGGGGGCTCACAGTTTCAGAGTTCTCAATCCAGACACAGCAGACTCCATTCCCTGGGGCTCAAGGTGAGGCAGGACATCATGGAATAAAAATGTTGCAGAGAGAAGCATCTCACGTGGTAATCAGAAAGCAGAGAGAGAGGTCTCCACTTTCCAAATACAAATATATACCCCAAAGCTACGTCCCAATTCCTACCTGCTCCAGCTACATCCTACCACTTCAATTACCACTCAATTAATTAATCCCTATCAGGGATTAATTCACTGATTAAGTTAAGACTTAAAACCCAATCAATCACTTTTGCTCTGAACCTTTTTGCATTGTCTCAAATGTGAGCTTTTAGGGGACTCCTCACTTCCAAACCAAAACAAGCATATAGTTAGGTCTTCCTTTTTAAACATTCAGTTATTGTGTGTCTTTGGATTGGTGAATTTATTTATTTTGTATTCAAAGTAATTATTGGTAGGTAAGGACCACCTCTTTGACATTTTGTTGATTGTTCACTGGTTGATTCATAAATTCCTGTTTATTTTGTTCCTCTCCTTTCGTCTTTCTTAGTGATTAGGTGATTTTTTTTTCTCATGGTATGCTTTGATTCTTTGCCTTTTCCTTTTGTATATATAGTACAGATTTTTGCTTTTGAGGCTACCATGATTTTTTTCAAGATGTCTAATGGTTAGACCAGGCAATGTTAAGATGATAGAAACTTAAATTTGTTTATAATATTTTTCTTCACTCCCTGCTATATTTTATACTTTTTGATTTCACAACTTATATTATTTTATAGGATATATCTCTTAAGATGTTTTAGCTATAATCACATTTAATAGTTTTGTCTTCTATATTTATATTATACATATTAGTGATTTATACACCACCATTATAGTATTATTCTGATTTGAAACATGTACTTACTTTTACCAGTGAAGTAAAACACGTACTTACTTTTACCAGTATATTCTTGTATGCTTTCATGTTACTAACTACAGTCCTTTCATTTCAACCTGAAGAATCCCACTTAGCATTTGAAGACAGGAATACTGGTGAAATCCTTTAGCTTTCGATTTTTGGAAGTCTATACTCTATTTCTAAAGGACAACTTTTCTTGGTAAAATATTCTGATTGAAAGTTGTTTTCTTTCTGTACTTAGAATGAAACCTTTAAGATTTCTGCAGAGAAATATCTTGCTACAGTTTTGTGAAACTCCTTTATATCTGATTTGTATCTTTTCTCCTGATACTTTCAAGCTTCTTTTTGTCTTTGATAATTGACATCAGAGTATGTGTTATGGTTTAGATATTAGATATCTCCCAAAAGCTCATGTGTAAGACAATACAACAATATTTAGAGTGAAATGATTATATGATTATATGATTAACTGAGTGGGCACTGAGGGCAAGTAAGGTGTGGCTGGAGGATGTGGGCATTGGGGGCATGCCATTGGGAGATATATATATATATATATTTAAATTATAGATTGACATGTTAATTTTTTAAATTTTTTTTAGTTGTTTTAGTTGTTGATGGACACAATACCATTATTTTATTTATTCAAAAAATATGAAATGCTTCCTGAATTTGCCTACATCCTTGCATAGGGGCCATGCTCATCTTCTCTGTATCATCCCAAATTTAGTATATGTGCTGCTGAAGCGAGCACTGGGTGATATATTTTGTATCTGGCAAGTGAAGTCTCTCTGTTTCATGCTGGCCATATCTGAAGCTGCCTTTCTTCACCATATTCTTCTACCATGATGTTCTGCCTCACCTCAGGTACCAAGGAATGGAGTTATGGTCTAAGGGCTAAGAGCTGTGAGTCTGTGAGCCCTCAAGTAAACTTTTTCTCTTCTAAAATTGTTCTTGTCATGTCTTTTGGTCACAGCAGTGAAAAATCTGTCTAAAACACTATGTCTTGGTATAATCTTGTTTGGATTGAATTTGATTGTTACCTTTGATCTTTATTTACCTGGATTATTCTTTCTCCATATACAAAAATGTTTTTGCTATTATTTCTTTGACTAGGCTTTTTGGCTCTTTGACCCTTGAACTCATATAGTTTGAAAATATGCTGTTTTTGATATTGTCCCAATTTTTGCACTTTTTTCTTTCTTATTCTCATTTTTAAATTCTCATTCAACTGCATAGTTTCAGATAACTTGTCTTTGAGTTCATAAATTTCTTATTCTATTTGATCATTTCTGTTATTTATATACTGTATTGAATTTTTATTTCCTTCATTTTATTTTTCAGGTTCACAATTTATTTTTATAAATTCAATCTCTTTGTTAATTTTCTAGTTTTTTTTCCATTTCAAATCATTTTTATTGAACAGAAGCACACTGAGATTTCTTAATACAATTATTTCAAATTATTTAGTAGTTCGTTTGTCTCCATTTTGGGGGGTTCTGTACTAGAAGACTATTATGTTCTTTTGCTGGTACTCTTTCTCCTTTTTTTATGTTTCTTTTACATTTATGTCTGCACATTTAGTGAAATCACCTTTTTGAGACTATAAGGATACAAATTATAGTAGTTCTAGGGCAGGTCAGGTTCTAGATCTCTATGGTAGTTGAACTAATGTCAGTATCATGGCTGTTCATACCAAGGATTTAGCTCCAAGGCTATGAATGTGAAATAGCTTTCGATAGCCAGTGTCTGAGAAGTGGTGAGGACCTGGGTCTGAGGTGGGAGAATTTGATAGGCTCTGGGGTTGGGAAATAATTAAAATTGGAGGAATGGTAACCTTTTATCCCCCAGAATTGTTCTAGAGTGTCAGCTCTTGAATGGGGAATTGGCATAGGACCACTTTTCCCTATTCAAATTCACAAGCAAGAATTTCCAATGTTTACCTCAATAGAAAAAGATGCTAATGTCATTGTGGAGTTGTGGTGCAGATAGCAAATACATTTTTTCATTGTTTCTAGCCATTTTATTTCATTTAAGATGTCAGTCACCCAAAATCCCCTCTGTGTGGATATTCTCTTCTTTCTTCCACTTTGTTGATGAAGATTCTTCAATGGGCTCTTGAGGCCTCTCTGAACTATTCTGATATGTGAATAGTGTCCTGTATATATATTATATGGGGACATTAAGAATATTCTCTTCTCCACCATCATGGTGCTATCACTTCAGCCTTAATTTGAAAAAATATTAAAAAATAACGGTGGAGAAAATGCTTTAAAAGAACACAGATAAGCAGAATTTTTTTTTTGTTTGATTTTGTCGTTCTATCAATAAAAGTTCTAGAAGGAAAGTGTTTTTAGATAAGAAAATATTTAAAAGATTATTCTGTATACTTTAACACAATAAGCTATTCTTAGAATATATTGAGTCAATGGCAATATTTATTGTGTCAATTAATGAGATATTTCAAGTAAATGAGAGTATATTCTTAGTCCATATTAGATATCATATAATTATCTAGAAACATAAAGGACAAAGTTACCCTTCTTATTTATGATCTGTGTTTCTTTAAAAATTTTTCCTGAAAACAAAAGTGGTAAAACTTTTACATATTATATAAATGTTCACACATACCCATAAAAATATATGATTTAATTATATTCATTATTTATTCAAATCATAAACTACTCTCTTCAAATAAAAAACTATATTATTCTAAGAATGATTAAAAACCACAATTTTGTTTCTAGATTTTAGAATTTACTTGCCTATAAAAGTAAAATGAATTAGTGTTCTTTCTACTCCACACATGGAAAATGTGTTTCCATCTGATATTTTTAAGGGCACATATCATTTTTAAATGGTTGAAATAGTTACTGAGGTAAACTGAAGATTCACAGTTAATGGAAAGCTGTATTATAGAACTACTCCTTGTACATTTTGGTCAATTTTCCTCAACTAAAACATTTTACAAAATTATTATATAGTTAGCATTGTGGATATTGTTTTGATCTATTACAACCATCTTATTTTTGTTTTATTTTTACCATTCCACATGGGTATGGTGTATCCTAAGTTTTATGTAATTTTGTCAGTATATGTAGGTTGCATATCCACCACCACAGTCAAAGTAGTGCAGAGTAGTTCTAATGCCTATATCTCTTTTATAACCACACTTACCTCTAAATAGTTCCCTACTGTTGGTTTATGAATCTGGCTAAGAGTAATATGTATTTATGAAAAATATGTATTTATAAAAAATAATATCATTTAAAAAATTTRTATAAATGGAATTTATACAAATTTTTTAAATGATATTATTTTTATTTTTAAATGACATTATTTCAAAAATAATGTCCATTACTCATCATAATTTTCTGAAGTTTCATCCAACTTGTCACAATATATCCCTACTGTTTCTGTTTATTGCTAAGTAGTTATCTATAGTATAAAGGATATACATAACTAACATACTGTCGCACTGAAGTATATCTAATTTCTCTATGAGTAAAACTGATAGAAAATTATGATCTTCCCCAGCACACACAATATTTTCCAAGGGGAAAAATAGATTAAAACCATAGTTTAAAAAAAATAAACTGTTCGTAGAGAAGTAATAATATTTAGAAAACTCTGCTGAACTTGGTATGTATATATATTAACATTTTTTTTTTAATTTTTGTACCTTAAACCATTTACTTAAAGTGGCTTTAGTTTTGTTTTGGTTTTTTTCCCAAATGAATAAATTTGTATTAGGGCACATTGAGTTTYAATATTGCAAGTGCTAACTTGAAATAAAGCTAAAAATACATTAAAAACTTACATTTTTTTTACTCTAAATTATCTAGTGTAAATTCTTTCCAAGCATAGTTGAATCTAGTATTGCCTACAATATTTTCAAAATGGCTTTCTTTGTCCTCTTTTTGACATTGCTTATCTTGGCATGGCTTGCTTCATGGGCATAATTAATCTCTCTACATGGATAAAGATAAGCTAGACATGATAACTCAAAATCTTAGTAGGTTTGATAATTTTCTTATGTTAACTAAAGTGTTTTAATATCGATTCCTAGAAAACAATGCAATGTTTACTAAGTTATATCATTGATTCACTAAGTAGACTAATTCAGATTTTTCCTAGCTCCCCATCCAAATGATCACTAAAATTTTAAATTAATCAGTAATATCAATGTATAGTTTAATCCGCAGTTCAGCAAGATATCTGCTACCATCGACATCACCATTGTATTATTAAAAATCAGGATATGTGGTCTATATTCATTAGCTAGGTTTGTAACTGATAGAGTGTATATGATACATGTATCAGCATTAACTGGGTGCTCATAGTTTTGAATTAGGTTCTATTCCTCACCACTTCGACTTTTTTTTTTTTTTTTTTGTAAACAAGCTAATTTCTCCTACTTTATTCATTAACTCAAATTCATTAAACCATTAAACAGCTTGGTGGTTCACTTTGTTTTGTGTATTTCGAATTGGTGAAATGATGCAGATGATTGGTGACCAGTAAGGCTAGTTAAGTTAGCCTTGTGATACAAGGACTAACTTATTTATACACAGGGACTACCTCTTTGCCAAAGTCCTTTCACATGTATCTCACAAGCTTATAGTGGAAGATAAGTGGGCTGGTAACTATAACTACACGGACAAGGGTCAAAATTTGTCCTAGGCACCTAAGTGGCCACTGATTAAATTAAGTGTGTCAGTCTAATTAATATTTAGACTCTAATAGGAGGTGGCATTTTTGGCTTGTTTGGAGACAGATTGTATGCTAGGGTGACAAGCAAGACAAATGGCTCCATTTATCAAGCTTGGTGAATAATGGGCATAAAAGTTCCCTTGTGTTTCCATAGACAAAACATGTAGCCAAAGAAATGAGAGGTACATACTTAGTCCTTGTACTAAGATCTCAACGGATAGGTCAAGAGGAAGAGTTAAAAATACTTGAGAAATGTTTTTGCAATTAGTAAGGCATATAAGGAAACAATCTGAAACTAAACTGCTTCCACCATGTGTGTGTGTTGATCTTTTAAAATCTTACATTCCTGTCATAATTTTTACACAGATCATCCTTCTAATTATAATGTCACTCACAAAACTCTCCTATTCAAGTGTCTGTTATCTACAATCTTACATTGATTCTAAAGAAGAAGCAATTGAATATTTCCTTTCCACTCCTTTTGCCTGTTTTGCTATAGAATAGTACAAACAGGTGCTCCAACCTATGAGGAATCCCAGGAGCGCCCATGAATTCAATTAGTTAAATATTTGTGAATTACATAGTACATTGCAATCATTTTTATATAATAAAATATTTATGCAAGTTATCATTATCCTTTTTTGAAAAATATTTCTTAAAAAGTGAGATTACTATATGAATAAGTATGAAAGACATAATCCCTTCCCTAGCATTTTTTTTTATATTTTTTAAAAGTTGTATATGACATTAGGGTACATTTTGAAATAATCACAAAAGGATGGTATATAATTTGCTCTTATTCATTCCCCAGCACTCCCCCCTCCCTCCTCCTTCCATCTTCTCTCTCTCTTCGCTACTGATATTTCTGCAATGTATTTAGCATTTTTGTTATTGTTTTTGTTTTGAAATCAGTGTTTTCTGGATATTCTTGATGTTGGGATTCACTGTTCTATATTCATGTGTGTACATACAAAAAAGTTTAGTCAGATTCATTCCACTCTTCTTCCCTTTTCCCATCCCTTCTTCATCCCTTTCATCTAC